GTGTGTGTGTGTGTGTGTGTGTGTGTGTGTGTGTGTGTGTGTGTGTGGACTCATAGCAGCGCCCTGTGGGAGTGCTGCCGGTAGCCATGGACCTAATGACTGTTAGTGTGAAAGCCTCCATAATATGTTCCCCCTGCTTCCTATGCTTCTCTGAAAACAGACGCTCACTCCGTGTCCCTCCGGTCTGTTCCAGGTGAGAATGTCAGCGATGTGTTTTTGAATTGTTCTGACTGATATCGAGGCGTTCTCCGTCGATGATGAAATGCCTGACATGTGGCAGGAATCTGGAGGAAGTCTCTGTGATAAACAGCGTGTGTGTGGGTGGTGCAGGTCGAGTAATGCTTTTGAATGCAACAACTCCATTAAATGTATGTGCCAGAGTTCCAACCACGTGACGGCACAGCTCGACTGTCTTTTTCAAAATCCGGTCGGCACTGTAGAAGTAACAGAACTGGGTGCATGTCCTGGAAATGTTTGGCTGGCGTAATAACACAGAAAAGGCTGACTAAGCAATGCTCTCTAACAGCAGGTTTACACTATCTTTGACTTGACAGGTATTGTGTGTATAACAGTCAAAAGATGATTAATTTCTGACTTACTAACTTTCATTATTTGTTTAATCTTTTTTGTTTTGTTAAGTTTGTATTGTTTCTGGGTAGAAATGACTTGGAAGAAATGATGCAGTATAAATCCAGTTGTAAAATAAATAAAGTGCTTTTGTCACTGTTACGTTATCATCAACAGTAGGACTCAGTTATGCCGTCTGTAGGCTGTAAGCTGCTCTGTGGTGTCCCGTACATCTGTAGTATGTACTTGTGAAAGTGCCTTTGGAAAATGTTTTCGAGGAACTTCGGACATTCTGTACTGTTGCGTTTTCATGTCAGATTCTGTGTTTTTATTTGAGAAGATGCAGTGCAGGAAGAACATGAATAAGTAACGATGCTATTTTCCAGACAGTTATATGACAGAATGAATAATAAATAAACAGCTTACCCATCGTGACATTGCACCTTTATGTATATACGGCATGTGACATAACATTTAGAGCTCTGAGGGCTTATACCTCAAAGGATTTCTTTCTAATAAAGGAAATGGTTTGTCGAATCTAGGTAGATTTTTCTTTTTTTTTTTCTTTTTTTTTTTTTTTTACCCCCACTTTTCATATCGAGTAACTTAAACTTTTGTTTACTAATGGTCGGTGGTGGAAGTATTCAGATCATTTTACTTGGTTAATAGTGGAAATATTTAACAAAGCACAGTATAAAAATACTACATTACAAGTGAAAGCCCTAAATTGTTAAAAATGTAACTACTCATGCAGAGTGGGCCATTCCACAGTAATATTTTATACATAGATCATCTTAATAGTAAAATGCTTCTGCCATGTCCATGTTGGATTGGTGCTTTAATGCTGCAGGTCAGTGACGATAATCTTAGCTACTTTATATATTGTTGGGTAATTTAATCTTCTACAATCATACGTAGGTTCTGTATGTAAAATCTAATACTGCAAAGTAACTAATAGCTGTCAGAAAAAATAAAGTGGAGTTCAGTCAGTGAAACTATAATGAACCAGAGAAAAGAGATTATTTTATTCCGAATGAGAAATGCAAATAATCAAGATTTTCTGATAATTCTAGCAACTGTTAAATCATAAAGAGCATAAATGACATAACATTGAATGGAGTACATTATGGTGACTGCATATTAACCAATATAGTATTGGGCATAAAGTTTCATTACTCAACATAATTCAGTATACAAAGAGTAAGGGAACAACGAAAATAAAGTGTGGAGAAAAAAAAGATGAAGGCATCAAGGATTGATGGAGCAAGGTTTTACATTCACAGAACATCTACTGTACATTTCATTCTTCATTATGGCGAATAGTAAAAAATCTCCCAAGGACATGAGTGCAAGTGGGGAAAAAAAAAAGACTAAAGACAAGGATTAAAGCTTCAAGGCAACGGGCATTAGCAGAGTGTATAGTGACATCAGATGCTGGGTGATTGTAATATTTTGAAACAGGGTGTTTGCAACAGTAGCAAATGTTCCTTTCTGCCACTCAATGTACTTGTTTTTTTTATGAATCCCGGAGGCTTGCTGATTCTCTATTTGCAGTTTTCTGCGATGTGTGGGAGCTTTACGGTGATTTGGTTCCTCCCAGTTCTAGCTCCAGCCTCGGCTCTGTCTGCAGGAGTAAGAGTGGCCCTCTGTGCGCTCCAGGCTGTAGTCTTCAATGCCATCTGGTGATAACAGAGAAGAGAGAGCCCATTGTCTCGAATACTGCCACACAACCGTTTCTTTCTGCAGCTGGACTGAGGCGTGGCATAACGATGTAAAAAAAAATATATATATATATTGCACTTCAAAATGTTATCCCGTTTTGACACAGGGGACAGAGAATCCGGGAGAGAGCTGGCTGTATTTGGGGAAATAAAATATGGTTTACCTCAGCGATCCCAGACTTTCTCTCCCAAGTGTGAATGCTCCGCTGCAGCTTCTTGTGTTTGTCCTTGACACGCATGTACTCGGTGATATCAGGAGCCTCATAATCTGTCAGCTGGCGGTGCAAGTGTTTGTTGAGGGCCTCTGCCTTTAAACGCTCCTGAAGAGAGAGACAATGAAGTGGAAGGGATGAAGAACACAAACTGAATTAAAGAGCAGGAGATGAGTATGGTGTAAGGAAGAAAAAGAGGGAGAGATGAAGTTTTAATTGATTCATGCGTTTGGGCTTTGAGTTGGGTCCTTAAAGTTTGAATAATATTTGGATGACAAACCTCCTCAGCATGCTGTATCTTCTCCTCAATGTTTGCCAGCATCTGCTTCCTGTTGGTGATGTCACTGCTCAGCTCTGCAGCCTCCCGTGTCACTCTCTGCAGCTCCTCCTGTTGACACAAACAGTGACACAAGCTGAAGCTACGGTCAAGCGACACTGCAAAGGCGGTTTCATCCATCGACACTAAATTACACGGAGAAAATGATCTCTCTCTCTCTCTCACGCACATTTCTAATGAGTTACCTTGTGTGAACCGAGGATACGTAGCACTTTCGATTTGTTGACTTGAAGTTGGTCCAGGTCTCTGACAATTGTCTGCTCGCTGTATTCCTGGAAAACGTCCTAGAAACAACACACAGTACCAATACCTTGTTACAGTCACTAAGGAGCGGAATCTGATCGCAGACTGTGATTTACTGTTCTCTTGCATAGCAGTCTAATTGACAAACCGCACAATCAACTGACAATCTATTGATATAATTGATAAAACTTTTCAACACTTTGCTCTACCTCGTACTCTGCTTTTCCCGTCTCTTTTTTCTGCTGAAGCTGCTGCTGGAGCTTCTTCTCGTGGGCCTTCAGCATCCGGTTCTTCAGATTAAACTTCTCCAACTGGGCCACCTGTTTGTGAACAGAGCAGACAAAGGGAGGAAGATGGTGAATGTGGGTAGGGGTTGCGAGAGCACTGGCAAAGGAAGAAAACATTACTCAAAAAATACTCTAGTCAAATTCAGCTTTATTGGCGTGAGAGTTTCAAGAACTATATTATCAATGCATCAGAATACAAAAGCACAGGATAACAGTGATTACTACGATATATTTGACGTCACCTTACTTTTTCTGCAGTATGATTAAAACAACTGGTGAATTAAACATCAGACAATCCGAAAAACTGGAATATGGATTATGGAATAATAATCATGTTAAGATGGCATTTTAAGGTGGAAAGGCCAATGCAGGAGCTGACAACAATGAGATATGTTGACAGATTTACAACAAACTAAAGTCTAGTTTTGTACTTTGCACAGGCTCATGTCATAAGACCGAACCTAATTATTACCTTTGACTTGTCTTCGATGTACCGAAGCACGTTCTCGGGCTCCTTCATTTCCAACCTGTTGTCCTTCGTAGGTTTGAGCAGTTTGCTTTCAAACTTGTTCTTAGCCTTCCGGATTTCTGCAAGACGCAGTTCTGCTTCTTTCAGAGAGGCCTGGAGAGACGAGTAGATTCACTGCAAAGGAATGCACTGTAGGTGTGCGTTTGTTTTTGTTTCTTGTGCATGGGTGTGTTGTAACCTTGTAGTCGTGGTGAATTCTCTCATGTCTCTGTCTGAGTTTCTCCTGGTCTTGTCGTGTCTCCGTTACTTCCCTCTTTGCCACATAAAGTTTTTGTTCCAAGGTCAGCTGCTGGAGGGGTTCTGATATGTTGGACCTCCGCCCACGACCCTGACAAGACACAAACACGCATACAAAATGATGTGGGGCGTTCAGGAGTACAGTGCAGAGAGGTCTTCTGTCCAGGCAACAGAATTTGAATCATGATTTAGGCAGGCCACAAAAAGGATCGCTAATATGGAGCAGTATGTTGTCACTCTTTCAACCCCAAAAGCATTTGAGTTCATCCTGTGCTGGTTGTGTTTTGATTTTGCAATCCTGTTTTGTGACTTGGAGCAAGATTAATCATTGAAACCCGAAATTTTTTTTTATATCTTTATCTACATAATGTCTTTCTGTTTGTGCAGAGTGAGTTTTGTATGTTTAATAAAGAAGTCTAGTCACTGGGTGCACTTACCCCACCCTCCAGGCTGGAGGCTCCTGCTGCCCCCGGACCGTCTCCCCCAGCATGGGACACCATGTCCCCAGGATCAATGCGACCGATGAACCGATCGAACATGTCGATCTCTGCCAGGAGGGCTGCATTGGAACATCTTGGGTGGAAGAAGTGAATATCAGCAACTTCAAAAGCAGCCAAAGAAGATGCCTGAAGCTAAAAGGTAAACCTAACCAACTGTCAAACGTAACTTATTCCCTCACCTCTGACCATCTGTATAGGGAAACAGGAGCTCACCTTATTGCGTAACAGTTGATATTAAAATGCAAAAGACCTCCACAAAAGTATTTTCAACATAATGTGACCTAGCTGCCTCATTTAAATGTTACTCTAGCTCATGGTTCTAGGATCGAGTTAGTGATGCTTTAACTAGTAGAGCTCTTAAACTGATATTATATATATAATACTGCTTTAAGCATATTGCTCAACAGAGCTAACAGTTTGCTAGTTTAGCATTAGCAGGTTGCACAAACCAGGTAATAAAGCCATGTTTAGGGTAACACACGTCACGGTTGAGCCATAGAGGGTTGTGAATATTTATTTTCATTACTTTAGTTCTTCGACTCGGTTGTAGAGGACTTCTCTTTGTTCTCGTGGGACCTCTTTCCTTGTTTCTTCCGCCAACGAAACCTCATCCTCCATGGTTGCTATGGTACACAGAAACGCTTGCTGTGGTTGCTAGGGCTTGCGTTGCCCTCACGTGCTCTGTAAACAACAACAGAGGTCATACAGATGTGACCTCTGTTCGTGTTTATAGAGTGATTTTAATCACAGCATTCTTTCGTTTATTTTGAGGACTGTGTCTGTGTATTAGATGTGAATGTATCTGATAACAATGTGGAAATATTGGCGTAAACCGACAATAATAACCTCATCTGAATGCCCACCCCTTTAAATAAAAGTTTGAAATATAAAAGAAGCGTGCTGACAACAACATATTTTAGATTAGAATATTGTATTTTAGAGGCAGGCCTAACATTCCTTTTTTTCTTTTCGCTTTCTTCAGTCGTTTCAGTTTCGTTTCTCTGAAGTTAGGCGTGGCTCTAGTCGAGTCGGTCCTGCCTCAGCAACAGCGGATCGGATTTGGTTAAAACTCTTTTCAGGATGACTTCAGTCGTCTCCAAATTTGTCACCAAGACCCTGTGCGACCACCAGGGATGTATGGACTTCAAGCAGCTGGACGAGAAGATCGCACAGAACTTCACTGTAGCGAAAGCCGTCCTCGAGGGCGTCCTGTTCGACGACGATAAAATAGCCATCCAGGAAGGCAGACAGAAGGTCGTCGGTAAACAAATCCTCAGCCAGGACAGTCTGGTAGTGGCTAAAACCAGTCTGCGGATCTGTCAGAAGAAACCCGGAGAGTGTCCTCGGTGCGATGCGTTACACCTGTGCAGGTATTACGTGTGCGGAGACTGCACGTTCGGGTAAGTAGCACACTGTGATTACGTTACATTTGGAGGTTTTTGTAATCTTTTATCAAGCTGTGGTACTCAAAGTTAATGGTGGTAGGCGGCCCTGCGTATGAGTGTATATAAGAAAAAATGATTAAAACAGTTGTTGAAGTTTAAAGGCTTTATTTGCTTTATGACTTCGTAGGCTAAATGTAAACAAACTGTCCAGCAGTAAGAGCAGGAGACGCTCAGGCGTTTTAAACGTTAACGCATACACAGGTGTGTTGTTTCCTGATTAACGTCAGCTCTTTCCTCTGGACTATCTGGGCGTGTTCTCACTCTCCTGTCTCTGTCTCTGACAGTCTGTTTGGGCCTCTGCGATGAACAAAACAAACTTTGACAGAGACCGGCTGTGCATAGTCTACATTAGGTGTAAGTCCTTTTTGGACCAGAAGCTGGCAGTAACGCACATCATGTAATGACCCTGAATAGCTCACTCTTAACTGTGTACTGCAAGTAGTCAATTAAAAAGCAGTGTGCAGAGTGCCGCGTTATATAACCCCTTATGGAGTGAAGCGGCTTATGGCCCACATTTAGCTTCTAGGAAATGTTTGATTAGATAACCTCAAAGAACTCAAATGTTTAACTTTCAAAACTGTAGAGGCCTCCATGTTTACAGAGACCAAATGGATACGGTGTATTTTGTTCAGTGGTTGATTCAGTAGAACTAGTACCGTTCACTGACATTATATTTTATTAATTTTTCAGAGTCAAGTGTAAAAATCCCCATAGTCTGGTTTATCCATACAATGCAGAGCCTTTGAAAAGATATGAGCTTCAGGATTTGACAGAGAAACAGCTGTTCCAGCTGTTACTGCAGAATGATCCGTATCTGCTTCCTGAGGTAGGTTGTACTGGTAACACTGGGAGGCAGAGGTGGCAATTCACAATCTCTTGATATTGTGCAGAGAGTGATGTACATTTACCCGAATGAACTGTCAAACATGTTTGCCGTAATGATATGTACACCCCTCCCAGATCTGCCCACATTACAACAAGGGAAATGGTTTGCACGGTTCCTGCAAATTCACCACCTCGTGCACCAAGCTCCACGTCTGCCTGCACTTTCTCCAGGGTGACTGCAAGTTCGGCTCTTCCTGTAAGAGATCCCATAGTGTTGATGTGCGAGAAACAAAGGCTTTCCGAGGAGTCAGTCAGGAGAATGTTAAAAACCTTCTGGAGATCTACAGAAATAAATTCATCATCCTGGGTCAACAGGAGAGAGGAGCTGTTGCTGTTCCCGGTAAAGAACAAGGACGTTTTTATAGAAACCTTTTAAAACTTCATCTTAAGTTAGCACGGTAGATTTGGTTTATGTGTGTGTGTGTGTGTGTGTGTGTGTGTGTGTGTGTGTGTGTGTGTGTGTGTGTGTGCTTTTCTCCTGCAGTGCTGCCAGAGGTGAGTCCCCTCTCTCAGCCACTTTACCAAAAGAGACCCGGATCCCCTACCAGTTCTGCTCCACCATCTAAACCCATGAGCGACACTGACAGGAATGAAATCTGCCTCTTCTACATTCGTAGAAACTGCAGCTTCAAGGGTAACACTGAAACTAGTCACAACTGCAGTCAACACATTATTCTCAGTACATGTGTAGATCTATGTGAAGAGATTGATGATGTACACCACTTCCTCTGTGTCATTGTTGGGTTTTGTTTCCACAGAGAAGTGTGCCCGTGTCCATTGGCATCTGCCGTTCAGATGGCAGGTGTTGGACAGTGATGGTGTGAAATGGAATGACCTGCCTAATAACGAAGACATTGAGAAAGCCTACTGTGACCCAGGAAATGACACAAGCTGCACGGATCCACCTTCGCCCACCTCAGGGATTTACAGATTCTTGCCTTTCCAAAGGTGCATGAATGAAGAAACGGACCGCAGAGACATACAGACACTTCTCTGGCTTAGGGAATTATTCTAGAGCAAAACAAAAATAGTAGTTCAAGTCTTTTAGGGGATGAGGGAATTGTTGATTTACTTTTACTGCTTGCTTTCAGTTCTGCCTCCCCCCCCTCAGCTGACTTCATGACGATGACATATGGAGGGTCTCCAGTTCGTCGGCTGTCCACTACCTCCTCTGTCTCAAAGCCCCCTCACTTCATTCTTACAACACAGTGGCTGTGGTACTGGAAGGATGACAGCGGGGTGTGGCTGGAGTTCGGAGAGGTCAGTCAGACAATAATGCAGCTATGGGTTTCTGTTCTTGTCCTACCTGTGTGAGTTAACGAGTACATGTTGACTTGCCACTCTCTTCTCTTCACTGATTGATTTCCCCCCCCCCCCCCCCCCCCCCCCCCCCCCACCTCCAGCCACACCCCGCGGGAATCGGGGGGGGGGGGGGGGGGGGGGG